GCCAGAGCAGAGACGGGACCCGTGGGCGAGGAGGGACAGCATTAGGGCCCACAGACAAACAGACAGGCAGGGCTCCTCCACACCAAGAAGTGAGCAGAGTGTCTCCGGGCTCCGCACTGCTTGGGGGCCTTGGGCCGCACTGGCTCTCTTCGTTAAGAAAGGCTCGCTTTCAGAGAATGTCCGCAGTGAGACGGCCCTTAGCCGCGGAGCTGACGTCCACTCTGCGGCGCCTTCCTATTCCGTCGCGGGCCGATGACAAGTCCTTTGTGGGCCAGCCCGATCCAGAAACCACACCGCTGCAGTGGGGCACAGACGTCAGCGGCAGACGGTGGAGAGCTTCCTACACTCACCGCTTGTGATGGGGCCCCGGGCATAAGAGCAAAGGATTATTCTGTTGAAGTATTTCATTCAGAAACCTAAACAATGTGGTCCAGATTGACCCCAGGGCAAACGGAGACCCAGAAGCACTGTGTCCCGAAGGGTGTTTGACGGGTTTTGGGTCAGAGTATCCTTTCCTGCAGGACCCCTTAGGCTTTGAAATGATGGTGTGGACAGTGCATCGCCAGGAGGGAGCGTATGTGCACTGGTTCCCAAACGGACTCACCCATCACAGATGAAGGGGCGACACGGGCTGGACACGGGTCAGGACATGCTGCTCCTAGTGACTCCATCTTCAGGATGATTCAAGAAGCCACACTGGTTGCCGCCATGCTTCCCGATCTGTGTCCCTTGTGTCTCCACCTTCCCGGTCGCAGCTGTTGACCTGCAGGCAGGTGACTTGTTGTCTCTGAGACTGTGTCTCAGGGGTGACGTGGGAACTGCTCTGAGCCGACCTCCTGGGCTTGTGGTGGGGCCGGGACCTGTCAGGTCGCCGCCATAAAGCTCCTGGCACGAGGTAAGGACTCAGAAATGGCACCGAGTTCTACAGCTGCGTTCCCTGCGCCGCCCCGGGGAAGCGTGTGCTCGCTCGAGCCAGGCAGCAGCCTCTTTCGGGACACGTGACCATCCCCGTTCAGGACGGAAAAACCCAGGCTCGACGAGGTGACAGTCTGAGCTCCAGAAACGTTATTTCTGTGTAACACAACAGATGCTGCGTGCGAAGGGCCTCAGAGTTACATTGTTTACTTTTTCACACCGTCGAATGTGTGGCCCTTCCTGAATCACACAGTGATGCGTTATCAATACTTATCATGAATCTGTAGTTGTGTATGGATTCACGATATTCACTGTAAATCTCTGTACAGACACACCTCAGAGACATTGCGGGTTCGGTTCCAGACTCCTGCAATGAACTGAGTATCACACTGAAGGAAGTCACAGGAATGTTTTGGTTTCCCAGTGCGTGTAGAAGTTATGTTTACACTAGACTGTAGTCTATTAGGTGTGCCAATAGCCTTATGTCTAAAAATCAATGTACATACCTTAATTAAAAAATACTTTATTGCTAAAGCATGCTAAGTGTCCTCTGAGCTTTCAGTGAGTCATAGTAATAACATCAAAGATTACTGAACACAGACACTGTAACGAGTATAATAAGAAAGAAAAAGTTTGAAATATCGCGAGAATTACCAAAATGTGACACAGAGACAGGAAGCGAGGAAACGCTATTGGAAAAACGGTACCCATAGACGTGCTTGACGCAGGGTTGCCACAGACCTTCAACTTGTAAGAAAACGCAGTATCTGTGAAGCACAATGCAGCGAGGTGTGCCTGTACCAGAGCTTTTGTCACCCTGTTTTGGCATCTCTTCAATTTAAAAAACAAGTCTTGGGACTTCCCTGGTGGTCCAGTGGTTAGGACTCCACGCTCTCACTGCCAAGGGCGTGGGTTCAGTCCTTGGTCCGTGAACTAAGATCCCGCAGGCCGCACCAAGCACAAGACAAACAAAACCAAAACGAGCCTCAGAAAAGTGGGTGACGTTGGGGCTTCCCTGGTGGCGCAGTGGTTGAGAATCCTCCTGCCAATGCAGGGGACACGGGTTCAAGCCCTGGTCCGGGAAGATCCCACATGCCGCGGAGCAACTGAGCCCGTGCGCCGCAACTACTGAGCCCACGTACCACAGCTACTGAAGCGCCTAGAGCCCGTGCTCCGCAACAAGAGAAGCCACCGCGATGAGAAGCCTACGCACCACAACGAAGAGTAGCCCCCGCTCGCCGCAACCAGAGGAAGGCCGCGCACAGCAACGACGACTCAACGCAGCCAAAAATAAACAAACAAATAAATAACATTTACAAAAAAGAAAAAGAAAAATGTGTGACCGTAAGTAGGTTACTTATTCCTCACCAGCCATTTCCTTACCTGTAAAATGAAAGAAAGAGAAGGACACTGCCCTGAAGCGCCATTCCCCCACCCCCGCACCCTGGCCACCGCTGGCTCAGGGCCTCCCCAGCGACCAGCGACCTAGTGGGTGAGGGATGATGCCAAGGCTAGATCCAGCCCCCGTAGCTGTGAGGATTAAATCACTGAGCACAGCGCTCGAGAAATCCACATCTTCTGTTTTTCCATTAAGCTCGACTCGGAGGATTTACGGGGCACCTACTGTGCTCCGCAGACCCCACCACCCTCTGGGGTCCGGAAATGAACAACACCCCAGAGAGGGCTGCAGTCTGGGGGTGCTGCAGGGAGCCAAAGGTTTTCCTCTGGCTGCACCGGTGCCCAGAGACCCAGCGGTCCTGGGAGGAGCCACCAGCAGGGCAGAGGCTTGCTGGGGCCAGCCTGCCTACACGGAGGCGGCTCTCTGCCTCCCCCTGCTGGCAGCGCCCCACCAGTGTCCCCTTTGGCAAGCGGGTGGTCCGCGTGGGGACTTCCAGCGGGCCAGGTGAGGCCAGGTGAGGCTCCGCTGTTTATAGTTTACGTCTGCACCTCTCCTAACGCTCAGGTCCATCGTCCGTGACAGTGCTGTTGTCCCTTTTTACAGATGAGGAAGCTGAGGCTCAAAGAGGTAGGTGACTTCCCTGAGTTCACCCACTTGAGCCAGAGCATGCGACTCCCCAGTCAGTGTCCTTACAGCCACCTCAGGGGTCACCTCCCCTGGGAGGACCCGGAGGGCCTGGAGACCCTACCTGGCTCAGCCCCTCACCATTCAGACAGGAAAAGCCATGCTCAGGGAGGGAAGTGTCAAAGTCACCCTGCCAGGAGTTAACGCTGCAGCCAGTCTGCCACTTGGCAATCTGCAGGTGTAGGGGTTCTTCCAAGCGCCACCCTAGGCCCTTTCCAATTCCCGATCCACGGTCCCAGCAGGCCCCCAAGTCCACACCTGTAACTTAGGTCACCACCGAGGCTCAGGACTCCCGCCTTGTTTGTTCCCTTGGCTGACGTGTGTGGAGCGTGTGCCGTGCCAGGGGCTGCGGATGCAGCTGGCAGCCAGAGAGCCACGTCCTGCCCTCGGGGGTCATCCGGGGTTTGGCTCTCCCCACCAGCCTGGCCCCAGCATCCTTGCCACTCCCCTGGGGGACCCAGGGCCACCTCCTGGGCTCCTGACTCTGGCTAGTGCCCTGCCGGACAGCCGGGGAAGGCTAAACCGGTGACGTCACTCCTGGCTGCTGAAAAGCCCCTGAGAGCTTCCTTGCTTCCAAAAGTCAAGTGTAAGTCCCCTCTCGGCGCCCACGGAGCCCCACGCAATGGAGGCACGCCCAGCGGCTCCCGGGCCGCTGCCTGCTCTCTGGGGTCCACCCCCTGCCACTCCAGAAGTTTGTCTTCGCGTCAGCCACAAGTGCTCCTCCTTTCCCATCCCTGCCTCTCCCCGCCCCCCAGCAGGTGGGACCCAGGCCGCACTGGGCACATCCGCTGCTGCCCAGCGTCCTGCTCCCCCAGGGATAGGAGCCGCGCCTGTCTGTTCCACGGCCGCAGCCTCGGCTCCTCCCGGTGCCTGGTGCGTGACAGGGGCCCAGCAGACGGCTGTGTGCTGCTCTAGGAAGGACGGCTCCCAGGTTTTCCAGGGCCTCGCTGCAGCTAAGGAGGACACAGCGCACACTTCCCCGTGGCTCGTATGCAATCGGCATCTTCCTGTGTTTTCTGCTTCACCCCTGTTGCTACTCACCTTATATGCTCAGTACTTGGCTCAGTGATTTAAAACAGAAAGTTCTCTGAGACCTCCTAGGGGCCAGGCATGTTTCCAGACGCTGGAGAGGACAGTGCCATGCTCAGGCTACAGTGCCACTGACGGTGATGACATTTACCAAGCCTGGCTGGCTCAAGGCTTGCCTGGATATGGACGTCCTCCTGCAAGGCCCTCCGGGGGCCCAGGATGGCTCTAGTGGTGTTGGCCTTATGCCCCTGGCCTGCACCCTCATTGAGGGGCCTCCCTCTTCTCACCTGCAGCCTGGCCACACACCAGCAACCCACCTGGATGCACCCCGACAGGGGCCCCCACACACCGGGGCCCGATGCCCAGGTGCCATGGAAGAAACTCTAAGGCACAGCTATCTGCGCCTCGGGACCTGTTTCTCCTGAAGGAACTGACCCCCACCCCTTCCTCTCCAGCCACTCCATCCTCCGGAAGCCCATCCTTCCGGCTCTTCCCACCTCTGAGGCCCTGACATGCTTTTTGCCTGGACCACTCAGCCAGCCCCGTCTCACAGAGGCTGCCCCCTCTCGCCACGACGAGCTGGGCAGGCCCATTCCCACGCCCCCAGCCTCAGCACCCAGGACTGAGGGTGTGCGTCAGGGGCTGAGCAGAGCACCTGGCCTGGAACAGGCCTGCCATACAAACACCCACAGACCACACTTTACGCCCTGCGGGGGAGTGAGGGGCACAGGCTCACGGCCACGGGCCGCCGGGCCTTCACCTACACTGAGACTGCTGCCCGCCCCAAGGGCCCCTGGGAGGACTGCCTGGCAGGTCGGTCATCAGGGATGCTGAGTGGGGACGCCCGACCTCTCCCCAACAAGGCGCTCACATCAGACCAGCGCCGTCCAATGGGAACATAATGCCAGCCACGTATGGAATTTTACACTTCCTGGCAGCTACATTAAAGAAAGGAAACAGACGAAATAAAATTTTATAGTATATTTTATTTAACCCAGTAGATCCAAAATATCATTTCAACAGGCAAGGCTCTCACTGAGCTACCTCACAGCCTCGGCCCCGTGGCGTGGACTCTGCGCTCAGAGCGCATCTTGGGTTGGACCAGTACCCTGGAAGGTACAGGCTAGTGGGAGAGGCTGACTGTCACAATACTGAACACAATGTGACCAAGTGCCGTAATGATGACGAGACAGCCCGGTTCTCTGGCACCGCCTCTGCCCGTTGTCCCTCTGCCCACAGCAGTTCTGTGTCCCGTGCGTTCTGGGCAACGTGACTACAGCTCATGTGACTACGGAGCTTGGCATGAGGAGCTACATTTCCCCCAGGAAAGAGCGGCCGATTCCAGCCCACCCAGTGGGGGCTTCAGGGAGGTGGTGACATTTGTATCCAGCCTCCAAGTACGAGCCAGGGGAGAGGCTGGGAGAAAGGAGAGAGGAGTGGACATTGCAGGCAAAAGGAAGGGTGCCTAATCAAGACTAGTGATGGCTGTCGTGGCGGTGCACCTCCTCGGCATGGCCCCCGCGTCCCAGTTTGCCCTGACAGCCCCAGCTCACACCTGTTGATCCAGCACATGCGTCAACAGCACCCTCTCTCAGTCCCCAAAATGTCCAGGTGCTCACCCTGCGTAAACCCCAGGCTGACGAGGTTAAGGAAGGTGACAAAGGGCACACAGCATCTGGGTAGCAGGCTGGGTCTCAAAGCAGATGGTCTTTGACTCTGAGCCCCGTCTCCATGGCCCAGAGGCTTGATGGCTCAGCTGCGGGCCCCGGAGCCCTCTCCTGCACACCAGCCTACAGACAGAACCTGAGAGGGTCTCCACACACAGCTTAGCGACAGACAGACCCTGAGAGGGTCTCCACACACAGCTTAGCGACAGACAGAACCTGAGAGGGTCTCCACACACAGCTTAGCGACAGACAGAACCTGAGAGGGTCTCCACACACAGCTTAGCGGGAGGGAGGAGGGGAGGGGAAAAAAAGCCCCAGGCCCTTGCAGGTCACCTTTGCTAATCACAGCTTTCCTTAAAGTCACCACACGTGCTGCCCCTTTAACAACCCCCCAGGGCCCGGAGGTCTCCAATTTGCCCTGGGCAAGTTGCTTTCTGCTGCTTTGTCTTCAAGTCGGAGCCCACTGGGGCTGACCACAGGGCCCCTCAGGCCACCAGAGAGGAAGGTCTGGGCTCGAGCTCTTGAGCTCTTTGAACTTCCCGGGCTGGGGGGTGGGGGTGGGTACCAGCGACACATCTCTCTGCAGGATGATTTGCTGGGACCAAGTGTCTGCAGAACACAGTGACCACCAGGAAGAAGGGGACCGAGTGGTGGGGCCCAGGGTGCATTCTACTGCATGTTCCCTAACTCTGTGTTGACACAGGCTGGGAACTCGATTTCTGCAAGGCAAATGTTAGCTTAGCAAAGTGGCCACGTCAGATGGGCTGAAACTCTCCCTGCGCCCGCCCGGGGCTCTGACAGCGTGGCCGCTCCCTTGCCAGCATCACGGCAAACAAAGAGAAGAACCACACTCCTTCCTTCTTCCCAAGCTTCTGGGTCCCATCAGTGACCACCCTCCTACTCCCGACAGGCCAGAGCACAGCAGCCGCTGCGGCTGGGAGCTCAGCGGCTGCGCGATGTGTACCTGCGCAGGCACACGCGCCACCCTTCCCGCCCTCCGGAAGGCGCCGGGGCAAGCGGGGCAGGCTGCTGCCCTTCCCTACCCTTGCCAGGCGGGTGGCAGGTGAGTGCGCCGGGCCAGGCTGGCTGCTTCTTCACCTGCCTTTTCTCCCTGGGAGAATGAGGGTACAAAGGGCAGCACCCCTCTTCCCTAAGATCCTCTATGGGTGGTGGGCTCAGATGCTGCCTCCCGGTGGGCGCCAGGACAGGGGAGCAACCTCAGGGAGGAACAGGAGGCTGAGGCCCAGCAGCCTAGACTGTCACTCGGTACCTCGGGGGTCGCCCTCATTCAACACAAATATCCTCTCAACAACGGTTAGGGAAAACCACACAGAGATACCGGCTTCCGTCCACAGGGCATCTCTGGGCACAGAGGGAACCGCTGCTCACGGGAAGAAGAGTCAGGGGCCTCGAGGGGGCTTAGGGCAGACAAAAGAGGGGCCGGGGACTGCGCGGCCAGCGCCGGTGGCGAAGGGGGCGGGGAGGGAAAGGGCCGGACGAAGTGTGTGCCCGGGGAAGGCGACGGCCGAGCCGGGGAGGAGGCCGGGCCTGGGCGAGGCGAGGCGGGACGGTGCGACTGGGCGCTGCAGGCGGACAGGACGACCCCCGAAGCGGGAGCCTGGGCGGCAAGTGGGGCTTCGACGGGGCCTGTGGACTGGGGGCCGGCGGCGTCTGTCCCTTCCAGGGTTCTGTGCGGAGCACATGGGCACTGCTTTCCGAGAGCTAGACGTGGACGGAGCCGAACTTCCCGGGCAGAACTGGAACCAGGAGCCGTCAGTGGTCGTAACTAGGCAACTCGCGGGCCGCCGCGAGGCGCGCACGCGCAGTTCGCAGGGGCTGCCGGCGCATGCGCGGTCGTCTTCCGCCCGTTTCCCTTCGAAGAGTCCAACGGCAGAATGGGAGGAAGGCGCCTGCGCCAGGGTGCTGCTCGGGTTCTCGGCTCAGCCGGGTAGCCGTTCTCGGTCGGTGCACCTGCTGGCGTCAGTCGCTCAAGACTGATTCTTCCCTTGGGTCTTCTTGAAGAATCCCGACTCTTCTCACATCCTAAGTCAGAAGAGACGGGGAGAAAGAGCCGGCATAACTCGGACGACGTCCCAGGGCGGTCCTCGCGCGCCCGACCGGGCAGGTGGGCGGGCAGGTGGGCGAGGGGCGGGACCAATGGATGGGCAGTGAAAGACGGGATGCGGGCGGGGGCGGGGCCAGGGGCGGGGCGGAGTGTCACGAGGGCCCCTGCGAGGGGCGCGGCGCGCGCTGACGTCGCTGCCGGACACGTCGGCGACGCGGTGGCCGCGGGGACCGGAGCCGGATGTGCCAAGATGGCTGCTGCGGCTGCAGTGTCTCCGCTTGTGGAAACCGCCGCGCCGTACTCCGCACGCGGCTCCTGAGGGGCGGGAGCCGGGGGTCGCGGAGGGGCCGGGCGGTAGCCGGAGTGGGCCTGGGCCGCCCTGCGGCGCGCCGGTGAGGGCCGGGGTCTGGGCGGAGGGAGGCGGCCGGGCCGGGCCCAGCCCGGAGCGGACGGCGCGTCTCCTGGGAGCCGCCGGCGGTCGGGCGGGGGCCTGCGGGCTGGGAGGGTCGGGCAGACCCCTTGGTTACCTGCCCGCTCGGGCCGACGTGGCCTCCACCTGCACGGGCTGTCGGATCAGCTGAGTGGACACTAGCCGTGGTGGCCTTGGTGTGGGGTTGTGTTGGAAAGGCTGGAAGAAAAGCCAGACCTGCAACTTTTTAAGGAGTAGAAGCATTTAGGAAATTTTTTTAACAGTTTAGCTTGCCCTTTGCTTCGAAGGTTCTGAAGTTTTGTGTTCATTGGTTGAAAGGTTTCTGCTGAGCTGTGCGGGCGATGAGGTAGATTGACATTTGAACCAAGGAACAGCCTTGTTGCGTCTGTTGGTAATGGGGCGAGGTGACCAAGATGTTGCAACCGAGGTCGAGCGCTGTGTTTTATCTCAAGGGGCAGAGGAATGTGTAAAGCAGCCTGCCCTTTTTGTGAAGAAAGTATTACAGTAGAGCGTCTGGACATGACACAGCCATTTAAAATCAGTTGTTGCTGCTTTACCTGAAAAGTTTTAAATGGTTTGGAGATTGTGAGTTGCTTATTAAGATTTTGTTTTAAATACATATGATGCAGATGTTAACCAGAGAGGTATTTCCCATCCCCGGATATGGCAGGAAGCAAACTGAGTCACAGACAGTTGTTCCTAGGTTGATACTTTTGCAGGTTTCAGCACAGCCTGCCTCCCTGCAGTTTTCTCCCCCCGTGCCCTTTCTTAGGGTTCCAGGTGTTATCTTAGAAAGATACAGTAAGAGCCAAAAAAAATCAATTCTTTCTTGTTCTTTGTGACTCGTACACCCTTAATAGCAGTTACTGCAGTAAGTCTCAGAATTGTATGGAAAGTTTTCTCCAGGGTAGGTGTGCAGATTTTAATGTGGTTCCTTCTTGCTTCTGTAAACATCTTTTCCGAGTGTCCTTTTTGCTCCTTGTCATTTTTTGCAGTGTTTAGACACTCCCTTCTTTAACATCTAAATGTGTATGATTCTGTACTTAGAAAAGTTGGAGTCTGTGCTGTCTTTGTGTCCGGTGTCCCCTAGTCTGATAGGTACGTCGCTTAGCAGTTGCCGTGAGGGAGATTGTGGGCAGAGCATAGACTCCCAGGTGCTTCCTGACACGCCGGTTGGTTTACACACTTACGCTTGAGGCGACGGCCCTGGCAGGAGAGGAGCGTGCTCTCAGTATCTCAGTTCAGTAGCCGGGAATTTATTTCGAAACAGGTTGTGTTTATTTCACATAGATCCAAGGCAGCTTAATTGAAGAGCTAGGGTTATGAATAATGCATCTTTAGGAAGGTCAGCTGGTTTCTTTGAAGCAGTCTGCCTTTTTTAAAGTTAGGTGACTTGAGGCTACAGAATGACTTACTGGACAGAATAAAATTCTCTGTAGTCAAAAGATAAATGATATGCCCTTGCATTGTTTTTCTGCTGGTGAATATAAAAGAAGATCAAAAGAATAATGTTCAAGTCAGAAGGTTGTTCCAAATAAAATCGGTCTATTGCTAAAAAGCTCTCAGTTGTCGGGGAGAGAAGGCAAAGCTACTTTGTTGGGAAGTGATAGTGTTTGCTTATAAAATGATTCTTAGTCCAGGAGTTGAGAAAACAATTTTAAGGAAGTTTCTGCAAGGAAACATTTTAAGTATAGATGTTATATGAAATTTAGATTCTGGTAAGATTTCCCTGTTAAACAGCCATAGGGATTAGGGCCTCCCAGAATCCACTGTGAATAGAATTTCGTAAGATTAAACCCAGAAGGGACTTTGAAACCATCGTTTCATTTCTCACTTTATAGGTGAAGAAATTGGGTCACAGAAGGAGCAGAGGTTGTGGCTGAGCCACTCAGCTGACGCCCAGTCTGGCTCTCACAGTGACACCTGGGGAATAAATCCTCTGGACCTGTTCTCTGTGTGTGTGTGTGTGTGTGTGTGTGTGTGTGTATTCTTTCTTTTTTAATAAATGCTGCTTAGTGTGGTTGAGGGTCTCCTGCTGAAGCCTTACAAGGAGGATGTCATGTCCTATAAGATGCGTCTGTTTCACAGATAAGAGGAAGAGGCTCTGCTTCTCCTCCCCTTGCTCCGTATAAAGCTGAGCTGCACACGTTCTTTGTTTTAAAATGACAGCTTAGAACCAAATGAAGTCTCTGATGCTGTTCCTCATGTATTTAATTCCATTAAATTTGAGTGAGTTTCAAAGTGCTCGTCTGTCAGAAAGGGTTCCCTGTTGGCCTGGGATGAGAGTGTGTGTGGGCAGTGATAGTAATGGATTCATAGAGTCATAGGACTCGTTGTCAGGTGGGAATAGGAACTTTCATTTTAAATAACTTTACTCAGTATACGTTTATGCACTTTTTCTTTCGTCTGAGTATCAGAAAGATTCCCAAGTACAGAAACGTTGCGCACCTGCAGAAACGTGGGGGCTAAACCCAGGAGTCCTATCACTTCTTCCTTCGTTGTTGACATTTTTCTGTGATGGGCTCCACTTAATCTGTTTGTGAAGGTTGTTCTGGGGAGAAGGACTGACATACAGAGGAGGGCTTTGTAAAGAGACCACGCTTGGATTTTTGTCTCAAAAGTGCAGGTTAACTATTCAAGATTATACTTAGTGTGTTTTAGTAAAAAACAAACAACAAACAACGCTGCAAAGAGGATTCTATCCCCTTGTTCTCCATAAAGGGTTTACGGGCGCCTCGTTGCTACAGCTCTGGTTATCGGAGGCGGCTTGTTTTGCTAGCGGTTGCCAGCCAGCCACGGTGCAGAAAATGAGACATTTTACAGGGTGGGATGCAAGGCGTTTTAGGTGAATACATTTTAGATGTTCATTTTGCAGCTTATATTACTCTGTCATGCTCTCTCATTAAAGAAAACAGAGGAGCAAATTTTAACTTTTGTTTTCCTTTCAAGATTTAGAATTAACCTGTATGAAAAGTATGATATGCAGTCTTAATAGAGGAGTTGGCTTTTTCTTGGTCTGCGATAATTTACAGGAAAGTGTGGAGGGACTGCGTACCTGGTGTGACTGGCGTTGGCTTCTGCTTGGTCTCTGCCAGCTTGTTGAGGGCACTGTGGAGGCGGTGGGCATTGCCCGTGGGTGCGTAGCTGGGGTACGTAACTGAATCTCGGTGAAGGGCAGCGAGTCATCTCAAGGCACTCGGCTGGCCCAGGCGCAGCCAGCTTCTGCGTCCCGGCCGTGCTGTCACCCCGGGTCCTCCCTCCCGAAATGCCCAGGACAGCAGTTCTCACGGGCGTGGAGGCAGGAGAGGTGTATCCCTCAGGACTGCGTGGTGCAAAAGCGTTTGCAGCCTTTTTCTTCTTTCTTAGTTTTCCTGATGGCAGCCAGGACTTTGAATACATGGATTTTACGCATTAATTCTTTTTCGTTTTCTTTTTCAGTTCAAAGTAAGGAACAGCTCTATCCTGCTTCTTTCTGTAAGCAGCATCTCATTGTGCAGGAGCTCGATCATGCAACCTCCACCCCAGGCTGTCCCGTCTGGCGTGGTCCGGCCGCCTCCGTCCGGGAGTCCTCAGAACATGTTCTGGTCCAACAGCCCGTACAGGAGACAGGCCAATAGTAATGCACCAGTGGCCCCGATAACTTGCCCACTGCAGCCGGTGACGGACCCGTTTGCTTTTAGTAGACAGGCGCTCCAAAATACATCATTGGGCAGTTCGTCTAAAAGCAGCCCACTCGTTGTGCAAGGCCCAGCCCCACCATTGTCTCTTCAGCGTGCTGGTCTGCCTGGGCCACACACAAATGCCGGGGATAGCTCCCAAGGACCCTGCGAGCCTCTGCCGGCCCCTCCGTTGCAGCCCAGGTCAGATGCCAGCCCATTTCCCGGCGTGCTGAGCCCCTCGGCACCTCCTGGGCCCGAGGTGAACAGGAGAGTCGAGGTCGCTCCCGGCCCGGAGCCTGAAGTTCAGAGCCCGCCGTATCCTCCTCAGTACATTCCAGGAGTGGGTCCGGACAGCTGTCGTGTGGGCCATCCACAGGCGAGCACGCCACGGCCCGACAGACCCCTGAGCAGGCCGAGCCTGCACGACGGCACGGCGACACCAGCAGCGCCCCCTTTCCTCCCTCAGCCTCGTCAGCAAACGCCCGGGCAGTGGGGGCCGGTGCAGGGAGGCCCGCAGCCCTCAGGGCAGCATTACCGGCCCTGCCCTGAGGGACCTGTGCAGAACACGGTGTGCCACGCCTCCAGCGCTGGCCACTTTCCCGCTCCGTCCAACCCGCGTCAGGGTCCTGGCCACGAGCAACACGGCCCCCTGGTGTCTTTACCGGGACCCTCGGCCGGTGACGGGAGAAATGAGGCAGTCTACCTGCAAAGTGGAAACCACTCAGCAAATAGCTTTGATCCAGAAAATGCATTCAGGCAGAATTCCAGAGTTGGGAACGCTCGGGCGGGCCAGGAGTTCAGGTTGAGTCCAGGAGTGAATAGAGAGCAGTTGTCAGACCTGGCTCTCATTAACCCCCTCGCTCAGGGAAACAGCCCAGAAAGCCACTCGCACAACCCCCTGGGTGCCGGGAGCAGCTGGACCCTGCCGGAAGCGGGCTCAGGAGCGCTCTCCATGTTTTTCAAAGGAGGAGAGACAGAGAACGAAGAAAACCTCACATCTGAAAAAGCAGTCTCTGCCGGTCAGTCTGACTTTGATGGTTTCTCCCCCGGCCCGGGCCTCGGCCAGCCTCCTGCACACATGGGGGCAGGAGGCGTTTATCAGGCCTTTCTCAAGGGTTCCAGCAGCGAACCCACGCAGCAGGGAGGAGACCCACAGCCTTACTTTTCTCAGTCTGCAGGCATCCGACACGACAAAGCAACCACTAACGCTGCCGCTGTTGACATGTGGGGTGACACAGCACGTGCGGGGACTCACGGTGCTGGTGGCCCGCGGTACGAGAACGTCGAGAACTTAGAGTTCATTCAGAACCAGGAAGTTCTGCCAAGTGAGCCCCTAAGCGCAGACCCTTCCTCCCCAAGCGCTCAGCTCAGATACGGGCCCCTTCCCGGACCGGCTGTCCCCAGGCTCAGTGCCGTGGGCCACGCTGGAGGCGGGAGCCCTAATCTCGAGGCCCCAGATGCGACGGCGCAGCCTGCGCGGGCTGAGAGCGTGTCTTCCAGTTACAGCGGCCAGAGCCCTCGGGGTCTTCCCGGTACAGCCAGGCCCCACGACTCGGGGGGCACGTTCATTCAGCAGGAGGTTGG